ATGCCACACTCATGTTCGTTGTGGCTGTTTTGTTTGGAATTTGGCACCCAGGTAGTATGATGGCGATAAAGGAGAAGGGGGCTATACCACTGTCAGGCGGTGACAGCAACCTGTATGGAAACTCCCCTAATTATGGGGCTTAAGATAATACAGCATCTTGTCAGTCTGGCAATTTTGATAGATTTTCGTCTTCTCATCTTCAGTCATCATAGAATCATGGCCATCTAATACATTAGCATAGCAGTGGTGACTCTCTTATTTTATTTTTTATGATACAACATTCTTGGAGTTGAGTCAAATACCTAAATCAGTTCCCTCTAATCCATGGCTAAATTCATGAGGCTTTTAATAAGATGCCGTGCTTAAACAACCTACTATTACTCTGGGTTCTTCCATTCAGTTTCTTTTTATACAGGCATTTTCTTGAAAGGAGTGGGATGAAGTTCTCATCCTGTCTTCGCAAGGTATCACAGTGACCCAACAAGGGTGCCAACAAATGCTAGACGATACGCAACTTGAAACGCGCCAAGTATCTATGGCGGCTATAAAATGAGATATTATGTATGCATCCTCGACTGAGGTATAACCAGCACTTGCCATGTTGGAAAAACAAGCGATAATAAACGTACCAAAGAATCACTACTTGAGGCCAACCTCCTGCGGCTCTCAGCGAACATGCCGGTTTCCCGATCACCAACCGCCGACTCCCTCCACTTCTGACAATTGATAAGAGAAGCCAGGGTTCACCGCCTGCTTACAGGTCTAAATGCTGACAGGAATTTCCTCTCCTTTAGTTTCATCCTTACTAATAAGCGGGGTTGACAGCTTGGATTACATTAGTTCTCCTCAACCCAATCCACCAGCTTCAAACGCTTACCTCAATTCATTTCCACACCTTCTATCATCATGTCTCCCCAGGCAGCTCAACAGCTCTTTGAATTCAAAGGTGTGTTCATTGAGAACTTGCACGTGCTTCCCAATGGAAATCTCCTCATCAGCACTTTGAAATCCTCAGGCCTTCTCTATACGCTTGATCTGAAGGCGAAGGAGCCCACACCAAAGGCTATCACTGGCTTCGGGAAAGCCACTGCTGTGACCGGCATCGTACCTCTGGGCGGAGATCGCTTTGCCATCGGTGGCGGTGTACATACGTCGTTTGCTTTTGAGAAAGGGACTATGCAAGTTTATATTGTATCCCTCGACACTAATGAGGTTGTTTCCAGCGTACCGGTCCCAGAGACAGCTACAATCAACGGTCTGGCGCCGCTTCCTGGGACAACAGACGTGGTTCTAGGCGCCGACACAATCGACGGACGAATCTTTGCCATCAATCTAACAACCAAGAATGTTTCAGTTTTGCTGGACCATGCTACCTTGAAGGCTTCGACAGTCAGCGGATATGGCCCACCACTTGGAATCAATGGCATCCGAGCCTATAAAGACTATGTTTACTTTACCAACTCAGGCGAAGGCACTTTTGCGCGCTTCCGCGTCGAGGGAGGAAGCAAGGTTGGCGACGTGGAAATCGTTGCGAGGATCCCAAGGAAGGGGCTTGCCTTCGATGACTTCATCTTTGACAACGAGGGAAATGCGTACATTGCCACACATCCGGGATCCATTTTCAAGGTCAACACAGATGGAGAGATTTCTGCTATCGCAGGTGATGGCCCAGATAGTATTTTTCGAGAAGCGACAAGCGTTGCCATGTCTCTGGACCAGAAATCACTCTATGTATCGACGGGAGGTGATTTTATAAATCAGACCGTTGGAGGACAAATCATTGAGGTTCAGCTCTAATATTTAACTCGATCTACACAAGGCAATGTGAAGTCAAAATTTTTCTCTATGGCCTCTTTGATTTCTTATTGGCGAGTCTAGGCTCAACCGGCACTGTTGTAAGTCGAGTTGAAATACACTGATGCATATTTTCTTGCAACGCAACCGCATAATTTTCCTTCCCCATACTCCTTCGAATAATATGAACTTTCGAAACAGCTGCTGTTGGTACTGCCTTTTGACCCTTCTCGCTCAAGGAGCCAAGGCTTTCTCGCCTGCCAAACCAATACACTTAGCTAGTGTTCAAGCAGGCTTATTCAAACGTGGATTGACCAACTTCGTATTTCGGCTCCGTTGAAATTATAGCAAGCCATGCCTATGCCAACTACAAAAGCCTCTTTTCCCCGGCAGCCCGGCTCAGACCAACCAACGATATGCGGAGCGCCTTGGTGATATACCAGAGCAGACTTTCCAGGAGGAGCCCCTATGCAGTTCCCAGGGTACAGTGTCGTCTGTGAGCTGCCTCCTACGCAATTTGCATTTTCGAAAACCTTGACAAAGTGCCCGATCTCAGCATTCGGTTCTCCGATGACTACCGTAGAGAGGAGGATCGCGGTCAGGAGTATAATGAGCATTTCAGGTTGCTTCGGGTTTCTTTTTGGTCTCGTTCAATGAGTGGAAACAATGTATTTTTCTGTTGGTTGATTTTTATATAGCTGTGCCATCAATCCAGCTCAAGAGCATCATTATATATGTGCCTTCTGGTGATGTTCCACCCTAAATCCATCGCAAAACCGTCCCAAAAGAAGATGTTGCTGCGTGGACAATAAGCCCTAGGCCCAAAGAGTGTCATTTACGCCCAAAGGTCCCCCCCACCTATGCCTGTCGCAAAAGGGTCCCATATCCGGGCTACTTACCTACAGACCTTGAAGTGATAAGTCGAGCAACTTTTATCAATGTCAAATTTTAGAGTTGCTTCGGGACAGGGATATTGGAGCAAACTCCGATAGGAAAGTCCGGCTTAGGTCCTAGGGTACGTAGTTATTTAGACCTAGGCGATGACCAGCTGCTTCTTCATAAGGTAAATGAACATTCTCAACTTGCGCTGCCAGAGGCTATATGGCCTACTGGGAAACTTGTCTAGAAATAGCTAATTCCTCTTTTCTCTCGTTCCAAGTATCATTTTTATCCATTAATTGTCCTCTTCTGGCTCCCTAGTTGAGGTGAGTACCCCAGGAAATGGGTACAGTAGCCATAGACATGCAATACATTCGCGGCCTCGAATTCTAAGCCTTTGCACTGCCTGGCTTGGACAGAGAAGATCTCGAAATGGGAAGGTGAAAGCAAACCAGGTGGATATTATATCGGAAGAATTAGGGTTGCTGAAAAGAATATTCCAGCAAATTTAACGGTTGAAGAATGACGGTCAAAAGACACTTCCGCGCCCGCCGAATCAACATCACATCGCTTGTGAACCGCACTTATTTCAACTCGTATTCCACCCAAGATAGAATTACAGAGATAGTAGAAAATTATTGGTTGTGGGACTTATATCATGGTGAAGCTCATCTGTTACAATTGAGCATCCCACCTAAAGTGTTGACTATCAAGCAACTTCCTATTATCGCGTAGGGATGGACATCCAATTGCGTGTGAAAGTATTGAAGACAGCGCCGCCATTGTAGCCTATCACCGGACTGTTCTCACGTTACGAAAGTCGTCCCTTCATTTATTGGCTTTCAATTACTTTCCAGCTCACATCAGGTGTTTAAGGTAGTAGCAGGTCTCGAACTCCTCCGCTTCAAACAGACATTTTTGTGTTCCGTCCCAGTACCGGAACATCCTAACCCAATTTAAATTAAATGAATTAATGGCCTTTGTCAACTTTGCCTGGTTTGGAAGGGATCTTGTTTTTTTCCTGGGATATGGGTTGCTCTAGAGAGCCTCCACAGGACAACTCTACTGCCCAGATCCCAGCCTCCAACTTCACTTTTCCATCTTAAGGGCTGTCCACCAGCAGGAAGTCGGTATCAGGTTGAGACAACGAAGAAGCTTCCTCGGGATCTCCCCAGATCCTCAAGGGGTGAACGTAGGAGTTGATCAATCGAAATTGACTGGGCCGAAACAGGAGCCGCTCAACGAAAGAGCATATATGATATACGGAAGAGAAAGAGAATAAAGTTTAACAACAATGAAGCTCCCAGGGCCCGGATAACTCAACACAATAAATGCGAAAGCTTAAAAATACAAGCTTTCCTAGTCTGCCCAAGGAGTTATACGGTAGGAAAATTCCATGAACCTTCGCACGGATGACTCACTTGCTGTCAGGATAGCGGTTCGTCGAATGACTATTAAAGCTGCCTCTTTCAGGCTTCCTTTGTACAAGGGTAGTCGGTGGCACACGGAGAGGAAGGGTTAGAGAAGATAGCATTCACAGAAATGCTTTAAGCTTTGAAACACAGTGTAAAGAGCGTATATGAATATCTCTATAAAGTGAGTTTAGGCAGTATGAGCCAATTCTTTCCTAGCAATGGTAAATCAACAAAGTTCATCTACGACTGTCATCCCTTCTCCGCTATCATCCCCTAAGGACCATAGTCGCCCAATGGCTCGCAGCATTATTCCAGATTAGCCCACCTCATGATCACTGCCACCTTTTAAGCCTAAAGGCTATAAGGGACTTTTTATTGGGGCATTCTCATTGGATCAGTGCACTCACCAGACAAAAGAGGGCGGAGTGGCACAGCCACAGCCGTCAAACTTGTATGAGGGGGTCTTTCTTCATCACGGTCACCAGAGATTCCAGTGCCATCAACTCTGCATCTGCAGGTATCTCGTCATTTCCTACAGATCATTCTAGATGCTACAGGGATCTCAGATATCTTCACTGGAGTGACGTATGGCTCTGGGTCACTCCCTAGTTTGGCTCAGCAAGTGGAAACAAAGCTTCCATTCGGATTGACGATAAGGGGCCCAAATCCCCGTATTCTGGAGGCTAGAACATCCATTAATCCACAGCTGCATCGCCACGTCTTGGTTGCCTGGCAGTGACATGGTCCGGCGAACCAATCCAAGCTCGAAGCCCCTCACTCTGGTTGCCTTGCAAAGACCACCAATCGAATCCCTGACTTACACCATGTCAGCTTAGCATGATCGACGCATTTTTAAGTCTCGTCTGACCTCGTTGATAGCTCTCCAGTCCCAACGAACAATATCACCAAAGTATGTCGCCCCAACCAGCCGGCATCGGCGAAGACCAGCTCGGGTCTGGCGCCGACCTACCCCTTCTCTTGAAGGTGCAGGCGCCGGTAGAATACCTTGGCGTTGGATCTTCTCTATCCCCACATCGACGGGAGATCGCCGAGTCCGGATCGATGCACCACACTGCACGCAAGCTCGCTGCCCTGTTCGACGATCTAATCCCACAAGTCCCGAACCTGATCGCCGCGTACGGGACGAGAGCGAGCGAAGTCCTCAAAGACTCCCGTGCGAATCCAGCGGGAGCCGAGTATCACCTCGGCCCATTTAGTCCCTTCGCGGGCGCAGACGCAACCTCAATCTGGGCTGCGGCGACATCTGGAGCGAGCTCTGTTGCCCTCCATCTCTTGGCATGTTTTCTTGCGCGCGCATTCGCCGATCCCGCTCACTCTGTTTCTGCCTGGGTCGAGATTATCCTAGAGCGGCAGAAGCAGATTGGTAACTCACATGAAGGTTCTTCAGCTCCTTTGAGCAAGGCCAGCGAGCAAATCTCCCGGGAAGAGATTCGTGAGTGGGATGCGTCAGCCCGAGCATGGCTACGCACAGCTGATTCAGCCACGAAGAAGAGCCATACCCAACTCAATCTGATGCTCATGGACATCAATACATCGATCTCATGTTCAGACGGTCTATATGCCGATGTTATTCAGTCATGGACCTACACGATGCTGACACTAGAACATCTCCTCGGTGGACGTCCGCGCACAATTACGAATGGTGCAGTCCTCTTAGGCATCTCTTCCTGGCATATATACCCTAACATCCTCCTTCTTGGTGACCGACTTACAGAGGTTGGGTTTTTCGACAACCTCTTCCCAGCATCGTGTTTTCTTACCATAGATATCGCAGACAATGGCGATGAAGCTGCAAGCCGCGGCTCCTCTTTTGCATCAACAGGGCTCCGCTGGCCAGCTGTTCTCGCTCAACATAACCTCGACGGTAGCTCTCTTGAGACAGTAGGCACCATTGACTACCGGGTTAGCATCGATGAGCTTCATCTGATGGCACTGGGGAGTCTCTTAAGGGCATGGGGTGCGCCACAATCAGAAATAGAGCCTTCTCTGAACTGGTTCGTTGCGCTCTGGAGTTGCGTCCAAAATGCCAGATCGCCTCTCCCCAAGCTGAGGTGGATTGAGAACATTGCCATAGCAGCCAAACGCCTTCTTGAGGCTGTCGATCAGACCAAGAACGAATATCAACAACTTGTCAACTTTGGCTATAATCAAGGGCGCAATTTTCTGGTATCCCGCACTCAACAGGAGGATTGTCTCCCTTGGTTTGGGCTGCGCCACTGGCATATTCTACATTCCCTGGGTGAACAAACAGCTGGGGGATGCGGCATCAGATACCTCCGTCAACTCGCCAAAGCAATGGAGTTGCGTTACGATGAGGCCATCATCACACAGATCTCTCATGAAAATCTTTCCTCCCATAAAAATAATTCCATCAGGAAGAAAGAGTTTCATCAATATACTTCAGCGATCAAAGTTCCTCTCAGAGAGCATGAGGTTCCTTTCGATAGCGACGAAGGGGAGCCGGGTGATGCCTCACAGGACGATGATGGGACCGTGCCGGATCTTGTGCCTGACGAGGACCCAGTGCAAACTGCCCGTAAAGGTAAGAAAAAGGCACAGTCTTCTACACGGCCACGTTACCATAAACTCTGGGAGGGCACTTTCACTCTCCACAATGAGTATTCTATTGCCAAGGCGATAGAAGAGCCGAAGAAATTTGACAAGTACTCTTTGCGCAAAAACCCACTATCTGTAGGCGAGGAACTCAACTCCCCATTGCACTGCTACAGGATCTCGGATTGCTTTGGGGGAAATGTCTTGGCCGACTGTCAAGCGTACCTCGGATATTCGTTGGATATTTTCCCAAAATCTCCAGTGAATTTCTCCAAAGTCTTTGGCGACTCTACGGGTGCTTTGCGACTCTTGGTGACCAAAGAAGCAGCGGAAAATCCAGAGAAACTTGAAAAGGCTCTGAAGGATATACAGACTGGCAAAAAGAAGCTAGTCAGCTTGGAGAGTTCCATTGAGCAACTTACATCTGGGAAGGTCTGCCCCGAGAGTCTGTGGCAGTACTTGGAGGGCCCGGACCCTTATCAGCCTGAAGTCCTCATCAAGCCGTTCCTCGAACTTTGCCGCAAGGAGAGACAAGGTTGCGAGCCTATCATCACCTCACTTCGGAGCCTTGCGATTGCGCAATCTATCTATGAAGGCCTCGACGGAGCAACCATCTCTTCCAGCATAGTTAAGCAAGGGATTTATAATGCAAAATGGGCTGAACTTTACCATTCGAACGCGATCGTGAGTCGCTCCGTGGTTTTTGGCTGCATCGCCATGTTCGATACTGGCAAACTCAATCTCGATACTGAGAGACTGGAAGAGGTCTTTGCTCTCTCATCTGGAAACTCCATCTATGCAGCTTCACGGATTCTGTCCGATCCAAGTATCGACATCCCTAGCCATGCTGTCAGCCACATCACCGGTAACATTGGGCGACAGGGGGTTAGTCTGCTCGTTTCTCCGACCACCCAGCCTCCATCTAAGCTGTTAGCCGAAGTGAGGAGCGCAACCAAGTATGAGCCATTCAACGGCTGCCGCGAAGACAAATTTGGGGAAACATCCCTACGTTTAGACATCACAGGCCGAGAGACCCCAGTTGGCTATGGTGTCGAGGGCATCTATGATCACCAGGCGGTTTTCGTTGATTCAAAAATAGGTGTTTATGATGCCGAGAAATGGATTGCAAACCTTGATGTTCCCAAATTGCTCAGCCGGGATGCCAGTCAGCATAACGTATCAGTTGCACGAGTGATCTGCAGCATACACTCCCCAGAGTCACGGGCTAAAACACTGGAGAAGTTTGTCGCGGTAGATTCGTGGGAAGAGGTATTGGGGGCTCCTCCTGCGATTGGTCTTGTCCGAGCCTACAAGAACTGGCCCTCGAGGCTTGCAGTGAGCATTATATTAACGCAGAATCGGACCGACGAGGAGAATAAGATGGACATTGACGGAGAAATTGACGGAGCTGTTCCAAATGTGGCAGTCCTGGATCATGGGGATGAACTCTGTTGGACATGCGTCCATCGGCGGTTGAAGCGGCGGGTGAAAATGGCAACTGGAACACCAACCTTCCTGATTGCGTAGTATGCTTCTAAACGAGGAGCACTCCGGAAGTAATGACTTATGACTCTTTTTCATTTGAGATAAAACCTGGGCCATCAAAAGAATGCATTGTATTAGCGAGATTGTGGGATTGGAAATCAACATAGAATGACAAAATTTGGTGGGCATGGTATTGCGGCTCTCTGCACCTGTAGCAGAAGCACATGAGATATCATTCTTGAGAACATGAGACCCGGAATGATGATATTCTTTTCTGACATATTTCTTAAACACAACTCTATATCTCTATCGGTGATTAGTCTATAGTCCCTCATTCAGCATCTTCTATCTCTGTCTATCATCTAACGTCTATGATCCATCAACGTCTAACGAACATTACCTTACTAGTATTGCTCAATCAACATCTTCCGACGCGTTCCTACATACTCCATGTTCTTTTTGTCTTCATCTTTGATATACGAGACGGCTCCAAGACTCTCAGGGTCAGCCTGGAACGCCAGATGGTTGAGGAAACCGGCAATCTACCAATACCACGTCAGTCTCAGTCCGGCAACTTGCGCCTTCTACCAGGTAACTTACTGCCTTGGGGAACCATCTGCCACCTCCACTTTCGTACCAGGAGATATGGCCACCCATTGATGTCGTAAGCAGCACCGTGTTCGGGTTCTGCTTGAACTCTTGCCAGGGCACGGCTTCCTTGGGAGCCACCTACATGCAACGCCAATCAGCCAAGTGTTTTCCAGATTTTTCGTCCAGTTCAGGTTCTCCACTTACCGGGTCATCAAGAGCATGGATTGCCAAAAATGGGATCCGAATGGCCAGCACGGAGTCGGCAGATGAGGCATCACGATAGTATGCCGCCTCGGTCGGGTATCCCCAGATTGCGCACCTTCAGGCAAACTGCATTAGCCAGGAACCTTGAGGCCATAAGTGTAATGTAAGTGTGACGTCTAAAAACTTACTCCACGAGGCGATCGAACTCTTCCATAGACTTGACTTTTGAGACGGCTTCGATATCAAGATGTCCTTCAAGAACATTTCTATGCTTCTTCACGTAAGCAACGAGCGCATCTACTGCGAGTTAGCATATTGCCGCAGATGTCAGCTCAATCCCCTTTCTCCATACCTTTGACCATATTTAAATACTTCGTCCCCAGGTACTGGCCACTGAGAAGAGTGTTGGAGAGCTCCAGGTTGAACGGGTTTGAGCATACAACTGCGCCACTGAGAAGACAGTTCTCGCCTTCCTCGCCGCAGAACTGAAATTGTCAGCTTTTGCTCCCTGTTCTAGTGTTTTTTTTTGCAGCTTACGTTTGTGAGCATGTTTCCTCCCAGAGAGAATCCCACTGCATATAAGGGCCTGTTCGGAAATCTCCCCTTCAACCATTTCACGAGCTAGAGAAGTCTGTCAGTTCCCAACTCCGCCTGGGGAGAGATATGGATGGACTTGCCTGACGAACATCCCAGGTGGCCCGTCCGTTGTACAGGAAGCGGCTAGTCAGCTCGCTCTTGGCACACCCTCTTGAATTGATCACACAGGCCTCCCAGCCTGCCTCAACCAAAGGCGCAACAGCATGTCTCAAGTACACTTCATGCGACCCTCCAGCAACACCGTGCATAATGATGACCATGGGCTTCTCATCCTCAGACTCGAACTGCTTGAACTCCTCCTCGCTGAAGTACGTGGTGCGCCGGAACAAAGTTGCATCCTCCCCCTCGTACTCATCCACAACAAAGTCGACGGCAAAGGTGCCGACGAATGTCTCGTGGTTGGACTCGAAGACCTTGCGCTTGTAGTAGATCTTGGGGCCCACTGGCTTGGTGGCCGACCAGAGGGTCTGCATGTGCCCATTGAGCAGCAACGGGTTCAGGACGCATGGCGGTGTGGTCTTTTCGACGATCTTGAGGAGATCGGTCTTGGCCCCTTGCTTGTCTCGTACAACGCGAGGTTGCTTCGCATGGGTGAAGTCGGTCTTTGCGTAGCCCAACCACTCCATTGTGGCAAGTTGAAAGAAGCAGGGTGAGTTGGTGAGGATGGTTGACCGAACAATCAATGGCACGGCACACTCTGATATAAATGCCAGCTCACACCAAACAGTTCAGACATTGATGACAGAATTGCAGATTCCAGAAAAGGAGGATTAGACTAGAATCTGACTAAGCTGATGAATTTGCCGCGGCACTTCTAAAACAAGCTAATAAGTCCGCCCAGATTTTTAGGTGCGTGACGAATTAGGTGGACCACAATTTCAGTCCCGGCCATGGATCTGGTCGATAGCAAAACAGAAATAAATCTTGCAGGGCTACGCGATTGGTATCCGAGCTCTATGCGATTGGCGTCTGATTGGTCCGCTGGCATTAAAGTCTAGGTATCAGGGAAAATCTGCCTTGGAAGGCAGGGCAACAAGTTCTTCATACACCAACTCTCTACCTACCCTACACCACCAAGCCCAACCGGATTGTCCGGAATTAGTTCAACGAAATCACAGAAAGGCGCGGCCTAGCAGCTAGAAGAAGTTATTCGGTAAAACTGTCTGTAGAAATTAGTGGAATTTTTTGGTGAATTAAGGTGTCATGTATTGGTGGGCGTTGGAACTGAAGTTAACCGGGGGTGACTTGTGGTTTATTTTGGCTGATAATTAACCTTCATTGCCCCTTTTTGGCAGTGACTTGATAGTAGGTATATTCTTTAGTCTGGTGTTTACACATCTTACATTATGCAAAGTGGAAAAAATATTGCAATAATATTGGGAGAGTTGTTTAGTTTCTATCTACGACTCGGTACCACGCAATTAGTGATTCGATGTAAGATGGTAAGAGCTTAGCTCCCATCTATCATCCACGACCTAATTGAGGGCTCAATGTAATTCGGGCTATTGTCTCGATTGAATTTCGAGACGGAGCCAACTTGTATCGCAAAAATGGTAGAAAAAAGAGATGGCAACTCGTATGCGACATTGTCGGACACGAGTGTCTGAGAAACGGGCTGTATGTCGAGTCATGGCCAACATCAACGTTGAATCTATGCACTAGTAATGGAATACAACGTCTCGTTTAAGCTAAAAATTACTTGTCTATTGATTCTAGCGGCGTTTATACACCCTCTTTCGGTGTCTGGTCTGTTGAAAGATGGAACACTGATGAGTGTCTCGACGATCTCAAGAACAAGGGAGTGAGTGGGGAGAAGGGCTGTGACTAGTGCTAATTAAACACTCTCCTTGGCAAGCCACGCACTAATTATGCTTATCAATCATGATCCAATCAATATTTGTTGTTATTGTCCTGCTCGAGCCCCTGAGCTGGTCGAAAATTCGAGGATGGGACGTTCCACACCGGCACACCCCAGACCGTTGCGTCGATCTGGGAAAACAATCGCCTCGGATAACTTGGTGTATTCTGGAGACTTTGCGCTAATACTGGCCGACTCGCGATCTCACCTCTGTAAGGCTCGTGTCCCCGCTCCCTCGATGATCGTACGCCGATCCCATCTGCTCTTGCCGAAGCGTGCTTCATCACTCAGCGGCCTACCACGATGCCTTCTATCACTGAGAATCACGAACCCAAGCACTTTCGAAACCGAGCAGTCTTTGTCCACTGTGATGATGCAAGTGGCATGGAGGAACCAGCTACCGGTTCCAATTTTTATGATGCGTCTGTCAACGAAAATTATCTACGCAAGTCCGAGTTGATTGCCAAACATCTCAGCCAAATTGGCATCGGAAAGCGAGTCTAAACCCGGTTTACATTTCAATACTGAATTAGACTAATAACGTTGAACTTTAGATTCCACTGGATTCTCTTTGTCGTTACCGGTTTAGGATGTACGTATCGAACTCCTTAATTCGGTCATTCCGATCCTCTCTTGTTAGGGAACATGTACAGTGGGCCAACAATTGACTTGATGAACTTCCATTCCAGGGTGCGTGGACAATACATTTTCTCAAGGCATCACTGCCATCCGCCCGGCCGTCGCAAACGAATTCACAGACGTTGGTCGACTTAGTTTTAGTTCTATTGCCTACTATGTTGGACTTATAATAGGTGCTTGGTTTTGGGGTACTGGAGTCGACTTCATTGGAAGAAAGCCCGCTTTCAATGTTACACTTTTCTACGGGGCCATCTTCGCATGTGCCTCTGCCGCATCACCCAACTTTTTAACCTTTTGCTGTCTATGGGCTGTCATCGGGACAGCAGCAGGAGGTAACGTGCCTGTTGATAGCATCGTGTTTCTGGAGTTCATGCCACAGAGCCATCAATGGTTGCTTGTCACGCTCTCGGGCTGGTGGAACTTTGGACAAGTTATTGTCTCGTTGGTGGCGTGGGTATTCCTGGCCAACTTTGCCTGTCCCTCTACCCAAGCACAATGTCCGAGAATAGACAATATGGGATGGTAAGAAACACTTTTCCGGACCCTCGTTTAGTTTCAAGGCTGATCACATCAATTCTTTGTGAGCCCTTAGGCGCTATGTCATGATTACGCTCGGCAGTCTTGCACTGGCCTTTGGTATCATTCGGATTTGGGTTTTCAAGATTCCGGAATCTCCCAAGTACCTGATTTCCAAGGGCCGTGATGCCGAAGCTGTCGAAGCAGTAAACTATATTGCGCGATACAACGGGAAACAGGAAACCCTGACCATAGAAATGCTCCAGGAGATAGACAGGCTGACTACCAACGAAGGCTTGGCTGAGACCTCTGGTAACAACCAAGCCATGACTATTTCTAGTTCTATTGTGCCGAGCCGGGGCAAGTTGTCATACAGAGACATCATTAAAGAGAGTTTCAAGGACTACCAAGCTAGAAATTACCGAAGCCTCTTCTCGGGTCGTAAGATGGCACAGCATTCGGCTGTAACTTTTATCATCTGGCTAACGATTGGGATTGCTTATCCACTCTTCTTTGCGTTCATCACCTCATATATTGAGGCGCATTCTAGCTATTCAGCTGATACATCTTTCAACCATACCTATATGGTGTACTGCATCGTTTCAGCTGTTGGGGTTATTGGACCCATCACGGCTGGATTTGCGGTCGAGTCTCGATTTGGCCGGAGATATATGATGGCTGGCTCAGCTGTTTTAACAGGAGTATTTCTATTTACTTACACTACTGTCAAGTCTGAAGCAGCGAACATTGGTTTCCAGTGTGCAACAGCTATTCTTGGAAACTTCGGTATGTTATTTTTCAATAAGACTCTCACCCAAAAGGTCGAACAGCCTGCTAACTGGGAACCTCAACAGAGTACGCCGTTATGTTTGCGTTCGCCCCTGAGTCATTCCCTGGGCCGATCAGGGGCACGGGAACTGGCATAGCTGCTACGTTGCTCCGCCTTGGTGGCTTGGCCGCGTCCTTTATCTCTACTTACGTAGGGTATACCGTCGTACCGATCTATGTTAGTGCGGCGCTGTGGGTTGTTGTCGGACTCCTTTGTCTCGCCTTGCCGTACGAGACCCATGGGAAGGCCTCGATGTAAGGCTCAGATGGTGAGCACTATACGTAGTTTAAAATGGTTGGCGAGCGATAAAGAAACACGTTATGATCCCCTTTCTTTCGATACAGTATGAAGTTATGAGAAACTGAGAGCTATGGAAAGACGAATAAAGTGAGAATTTGTGAAAACGAACTGGAGGCAGCCAAGTAGCCGTCATTGCTCCCATCGGATATTTCTCCGCCAGAACATGGGGTAAATGCCAAGGAAGTGTAGATCTCCACGCCATCAGCATTTCCCCGTGGGACCGAAGCGGACTCAGTCAGAAATCCCACCAATGGCACCGTAAGATTTTCTTTTTCAATCTATTGCTATGGAAAAAATAGAGGCGCGCCAAAGATTTGATGCCTGAATAAGTTAACCTTGCAACGCTGTGTCCAATAACCGGATCGGCCATGTCCCACAATGTTCTTGGCTGTTATTTGGCTTCGGTGTTATTGGATTGATGATCCCATGTACCATGCTTAAACTCAGATAAACTATGCTCCACCGTAGAGGCATTTCGATATCCCGGTAGAACACATGGCAGGGGAGCCCGAGTACAAAATACTACCGCTGTCAAGGTAAGCGATCGACTTCGTGCTGCCAAACATCTTGCCTTACCTTTTGTTCCCACCACTAAATTACTTGAGAATGCGTCTCTCAAGCTTAATTTCTTTCTTCGCAACAGTCACGGCAATTGGAGTCGTGGACGCCGTCACTCTCCCCCCTCATGTGCCTAGAGACGTCGTAGCGTTTCGCGAAACGCATCCATATTCGGCCCCGGATCATAAATGTAGGAGGAAAGTGACCATCAGACCCTCAGCCCACGAGAAAGATGATGTCTCAGAAGAGTTCAAGAAGGGAATTCTTAAAGCCAACAACGGCGGTACACTCTATTTGGCCAAGGGCAAGACATATGTGATTGGCAAGGTTCTGGACCTGACAGGTTTGAACGATATTCATGTTCACCTGGAGGGTGAAATCCGAGTGAGTGAGCGCACGATGGTATATAAAGACTGTTTCTCTAACTGAGGACCATTCCGCAGTTCACAAATGACGTTGAATACTGGCAACAGAATGCCTGGTATCATCCTTTCCAGAAGTCTATAATGTTCTGGAAATGGGGAGGTAAAGATATTAAAATATACGGAGATGGAGTAATTGAAGGTCAAGGGTATGTCTAATTTGAGAGTTGAGAATCCCTTCTAGCGGACGAAATTCCTTATTTGATGCTAACATTATGATGCCAGGCAACGCTGGTGGAACGAATTTGACTGGGGTATTGGCTCGTGAGTTTGCTATCACTATCACGACATTAGAGGCTTTATACTGAAATGAAATGAAAATTATAGGATTCTCAACCCCGATAACAAGTACTACAGACCGATCCTATTTTACGCTGAGAATACTACCAATCTGGAGGTCTCTGGAATCCATCTCAAGGATTCGCCTTGCTGGAATAACTTCATCGTCAGTTCTAACAATGTCCGTTACAACGATGTGATAGCAACGGCTCTTTCCAACAATGG